AATGTAATAGTTGAAGTTCTTTAGTACTTTGGTTTCAAATTCAGATTGAAGAATTGCCTATATGTAATCAATTTTTGCTCAAATGTCGTTTTATTATTGTGCTACTATACTTGATTTTTTATTACTAGAGGTAAATCATTCGTTTAATAATTATCTAAATATGAATAATTAATTAAATCTCTATTGGCTAACTATCAATACTATGTAAGTATAAGTAAATGTTTACACAAGACCAAAAAAATAAGAAATAATTAACTATGATATTAAAAATATATCAAGATAGAACAAGTGTCGTGTACTTATAAAATGATTTATGATTTCTATTTGTTAATAACTGTCAACTTTCAAAATACACTAAATTGTATAGAGTCTTAACCTCCACATGATTATAACCATAATATATAATAAATATATTTGATTGCATTAAAAAAAAATATAAAAGATCAAAAAACATCAAAATTGAAAAAGAAATTAAAAGTTCATCGTGAATTCGAAAAAAGAAATTTTTTTGTGAATCTTTGACCGATTATATAGTTTTTAATATTTCAAAATCCTTTATGTCTGTAATAGAGATTAAAATAGATTAATAAAAAAACATCATATAATCTCAATTCGAATAATTGCACAAAAAAAAAAAGAAACAATCAGACACAATTATACATAGTTTTCCAATCGGATGGAATTGTCTATATTAAATTATAATAGATTTGCAAAAGAAAACCTAACAGTTTAATGAAATATATTTCTTCATTATTTTCTTGTTCCATATACTAATGTTTAAAAATAGTTGCTATCGATTACTCAAAAAACTCTGCATCTTAAATATGAAATTTCAATGAATTGTAAGAAAATGCTAAATATTCTCTTTAGGCATAATTATCTTCATCGTCATATGCACATTTTTTCCATTCATACTATCCGTTATTCAACCATGACAGGATGATGTGTGAATCGTCTCTTTTAATTACTTAATGTTTATCTTTTTCGTTCGTCATTTAAACTACGAAATAGGATTGTCTGTATCATTGTATTAACGTGTGAATAATATTTGACTACGATTAATTCTTTGTTTTTTTTGCACAAGCCTGTAAGCAATAATGTCGTTTCAATATTATTCGATTTTTTTTTTTTTTGCATCATAATTTATCATTAGCCATAATCGGTATTAAATATTGTCATGATTGTCAAAATCATTAATAACAAACAATGATTTAATACAATAAAAATTTGACTTATATTAATGCAGATATATGTCAGTCGTATAGATACTACAATATAATATTGTATTATGGTTGAATAGTTTTAAGTTGCTAACAATATTTTGAAATGTGTCGCTTTGTCATTTAGTTTCGATATTCAATGTTAAAGGCGTCTTGTATTAGTTTAAAGAAGAAATATTTATGTATTAATGTAAGCTAGTGATACGCTCTGTTAGATCTACACTATAAATTATTATAATGGTACGAATAATCGAAAATATTTTATCACATGTTCTATTGTACAACGTATATATCTAGATTATTTTTTCTATAGAGTCCAAGGACATATAATTTTTCATGCATTTTATCAATATTCGATTGATATTAGTTTAGAAATTGAATTATATAAGTTCCAATTAGAAGTCAAGTTACTTTTTTGTCTTTCTTTTGAGTCTTTTCAATAGATGTTAATCGAAAAAATAAGTATCTTATATCTTCATATCGATTATGAAATTTAAATATGAAAATTATATTAATAGTATAAGAAGTACTGTTCGAGACTATAAAATTCTAGATTTGATGAATTCTACTACTGTATTCTCTTGTTAACATTTTATATTTCTGCATTTGTGATAATATTTTAACAAATAAAAAATTTAAGGTCTTTCCTTCTTAGTTTCAAAAAAAATGTTTCATACAATTCAACGACAACTAAAAATATTTCTCTTAATCACATGTTACTTTTTCAATATCATAAGTAAGTTAATAAATTTCTTCGGAAATGAAAACATTATGAATATTAGTTGGAGGTCCTGATCAACGTCGTTTGTTAAAATATCTATTGACTGATAATGGATATAATCCAATTGAACGACCTGTTCAAAATGATTCTCATACATTATCTGTCATTATAAATTTGGCTTTACAACACATCATTGATTTTGTAAGTGAGATTAAATATATATATATATTTTATTTTTTGTCAATCTTAAAATATACATAGGATGGAAAAAATGAAGCTATTGTTATTAGTGGATGGATGACTATGGTATGTGTACTAAGCTATAATATCTAATCTTATCATTCATATATATCTGTATAGATGTGGAATGATTATAGTTTAAAATGGAAACCAGAAGATTTTGGTAATATTGAAACACTACGAATACCAAGTACACAAATTTGGACGCCAGACATTCTCCTATACAATAGGTAGATTATTTGTCAAAGAACAGATATCTTGAAAAATTATGTTCCTTTTTTTTTTTTTCTTCGAAGTGCGGATGAAAAATTTGATCCTACAATGAAAGTTAATGCTGTTGTGCAACATAATGGTGATATACTATATGTTCCACCAGTATTGTTCAAATCAATTTGTTCATTTGATATTGCTGGATTTCCATTTGTAAGTATCAAAACAAAAAAAAAGTGTTTCAGTTATATCGTATTTTTATCTTGATTGGTTGTCTTTTTTTGGATACACAATATTGTACGTTGAAATTTGGACCATGGACATATGACGATTTTGGTATGTGATGAAATCATATTTTCTAGAACGAAATTCCAAATTTCTTTGCATATGTTATGCTTTTTTTTTATTAATTAGGAATCAATTTAACGGCTGAAAGTAGTAAAGGTCAATTAGATGCATACGTCAAAAGTGCTGAATGGGATTTAGAAGGTAGTCGATATAGATTATATATTCACTTTATTCTATTCGTTCTATTTTAGATTTCTCTGCAACGAATAATCGTACCAAATACGACTGTTGTCCAAATGTGTATCCATACGTACTATACACTATTCAAATTCGTCGACGTTCTCTCTATTACTTTACAAATATAGTTGGTAATAAAATACTAACATCAACAGTTTTTCTCATCATTGAATTATTACTATTGTTTTTTTCGTTTCATAGTACCTTGTTTTCTTATCAGTTGTATGACATTACTTGGATTTTTATTAGCACCAGATAGTGGTGAAAAATTAACTTTGCGTAAGTTAGAATTTTATGATAAAAAAAAAATTTATTCTCATACATTCTAAATCTTCAGAGGTTACAATTCTTCTAACTGTTGTTATGTTCAGTTTACTTCTATCAGAAATTATGCCACCAAGTTCAAATGCTATACCTATTATTACTATTTATTTCATGTGTATTATGATTATGTCAGCAGTTTCCGTTGTTGCATCCGTAATAGTAATATCACTTCATTTTCGAAATTCAAAAAATTATACAATGCCATTATGGGTAAATCATATTTCAAAATAAATAAATCATATCATTTTAGAATTTATTTCAGGTTCGTAAATATATTTGTAACTATTTGGCATGGCTATTATTTATGAAGCGTCCTAATCATGATTTAAGTTGGGGTGCAATTCGTCGTCAATGGGCTTTTCTAAAACAAGAACCACATAATATAAATGCATTGATTGGTAATAATCATTCTAAAATTCCTTCAGAACCATTGTTACATAAGACATTCGAATTATTACCAAACAATATTATAGATATCGAAAAAGAATCTTTAGAATTTCAAGAAAATCAACAAAAACAACGTTCGGATGTACTATTAGAATTTTCTGTACCTCGAGTTACGAAAATTCATCGTAATGTATCAAAAGAGTTGCATACATGTGATATGGAAATGGTTCGTTCTGAACTACGTATTATTATTTCTCAACTTACTGTTCTTACTAATCATTTTCGACGACAAGAAGAACATGATGATGAAACTCAAGATTGGAAATTTATAGCAATGGTCATTGATCGTCTTTGTCTAATTATTTTTTCAATAATCATGTTTGTTTTTACTACACTTACTTTTCTTAATGTTTAATTATTTTTTGAACTTCAATTTATTGCGTTTCGTTTTTTATTTGTTGGTATAACCATATTTTGTCTTAATTATTTCTTGTATCTTAAATATATGTGTTTTAATAAGCTACTCTATAGAGAAAAAATTGACAATTTTATACAAACTATTCAATGAATGAATCTAAATAGTTGATGATATCTTGTCTAATAGCATAGATTCTTTCAACATAGAATAGTACTAATAACAGCTGCGTATATATATTTTTGATCTCGATCAATGTTTTTTTTTTTGATAATTTTATTTATTAATATCTTTAAATTAAGTACCTATTCAATTGTTTTTCGATTTTTGAAAACCAAAAAATCTTATTTTATAATCAATCAAATTATTTCAAAAAAAAAAACATATCTATGCGCAATAGAATTTTCCTATTGTTGTATATCATCATTTTTCTTATAAAAAACATCCCAAACAGATTTGATCGAAACAGATGATGGTATAAAAGAATAATTAGGAAAATCATAACCAAATGCTTGAAGACCGACATATTGAAGAGCTTGTGGTGTTGTTAATGGTACAGGTGCTGGAAGAACAAGTACTGAAACACGATAACCATATTTGATTATTTCAGTTGCAATTGGTTCAGCAGAATCTTCTTCAATAAGTGTAATTAAATCAGGTACACTAGCTACAATTTCTCCATTATCGAAACGAGCGATAAGATTTTCATTTTGAAAATCAATAATAAGTATTCTGCCTGATGTTTCAATAAAAACATGACCTCGAACAAATCCACCAGTAGTTTGTCGTTCAACATTAATTACTTTACCATCGGATATAAGTACACGTCCATGACCAGCACGAGCTACAGCTTGAATAGCATCAATACGATTATTGAATTTAGCTTCACCTATATTTAAAAAAAAAAAAGTTCATAATTTAATATAAACAACAAATAAATTATACTTACCAAGAAACCATGCTCGAGAAAGACTATGATGTAATATATTTTTTTGTAGATCTTTACCAGTTATTGGAGGTAATGTAACACCAACACAAAGACCTCGTTTCGTACATTCTTTTCTAAAGAAATCTTCTAATTCTTGTGCTGTAGAAACCATATCATCTGTGCAGAGTACTGTTTCACCTCGTACATCACATAAACAAGAAGGTGTTGCAGGTAGACCATGAATAAAAGGTAAAAATTGTGTTAGACAAGGAAAAGCTCGACCCATTGAATCTCCATCAATACAAAGTATTTGTTTACTTGCTGCAACAAGTAAACCCATAAGACCATTAGCACCACCTATTTCTGCACTATAGATACCGACAATTTTTTTTGATAGATATTTTTCAATAACATTAAGAGCTTCTAAACATTCATGACCATTTGGTAATAATTCATGAGAGACAGTAGGTGCACCCATAAAACCAACATTTACTATTAAATCTGAAGAAGAAGAAAAATACGAAGGAGATACGACACGCATTTTATTTTTGCTTTCACGAAGAACATCAAGACACCATAATTTGCAATGATATGATTCACCACCACCACCACAACCTAAAATAGAATTTATATTTATTTTACAAAAACAAATGTAAATAAATTTACCAAGAATGGCTGTTCCATAAGCAATGTATTCAATATCAATAGTATCAATGCACCAAATTCCATTTTCATCAAATATAGGTTGTTTTTTTGTTAAATCAATATGAATTGGTGGTTTGATTGTAATTGGTGGTTCCTTTTTTATAAGTGTATTAAATTTTTGAATACGTTTCACTTGTTCATTTCGTTCAAATTTATTTAAATCAAGTTGTCCAATTGCAGTTAATTGAACTCGATGTATATGTTCACCAGGATGATATGCTAATGGTATTTGTTCTAAATCAATTAAATGTATTGTATTTGAACGAGCTCCATTTTGTTCACATTTATTATGTACTTTAAGAATTAATTGATCAAGTACATATTTACGTTGTTTACCATCATCTATAGACGATGAAGGTAAATCAATAATTTCATCGATGCTTGCACTTACAGAGCAAAGAGCAGCACCTATAGCATTACAAACAGCATAATGTTCTGTTCGTATCATCTAAACAAATATAAAATAGTTAAATAAAATAATTATTAAACAAAAAAAAAAAACTATTACTTGTGTAACGCCTGGAAATGATTGATTAATATCAATGAGAATGGATCCTCCACCACATAAGATAACAGGAACTGATTCTAGATTTGTTTTCATACGTTCAATACTTCTAGTTACTAATTGTTTGATATAATCAAGTACTTGTTCAACAATAAATGTAGAGAGTTTGACAGAACAATGACCAATCTAAGTTCAAAACTAGATCACAAATGATACTTTCTAAAGTTAAATTTACCTCTTTAGCTAATCCAGCAGCTAAAGCAATATCAGTTCCAGTAATTGTTTGACCACTAAAAGCTAATGCTTCTTGTTCGAGTCGGTAAGCTACACTATCTGGTCCAACTTGAACCGATTTTTCTTTTTCATCAACATGAATTACAGTACCACCACCCAATGGTAGAGAAATTGTATCAGGTACAGCAATATTCACACGAATGTCATCGATCAATCGTACATTCTTCAATAAATAATTTCCCCCGAAAAAAAAAAACAAACAAATGATAATAAATATAACGTAGTTAATCTCTTACTGCATGTGTTTGTCTTGGTCTTCCATTTACAATAACTCCAATATCCATTGATGTTCCTCCAACATCAATAACAATACCATTCTTAATACCACTGAGATGTGCAGCACCAATCATAGAATTAGTAGGACCACTAGCAAAAGTAAAAACAGGCCAACGTATTGAATCTTCTGATGATAATAAAGTACCAGCATTTCTTGTAAGAAAACACGGAACATCGGGAGGAAGAGATGCTTGCAATGCTCCAATAGTTTGTTTAGCTAATGGACGAAGACATGCATTGAGTATCGAAGCATTTTCACGTTCGGACAAACCAAGACCAGCAATTTCATGCGAAAGAGTAATATATGCTGTAGATGATTCTTCACGAATAATTTCTCCTACACGTTCTTCCTGATCTATTCGACATGGTGAAAAAACACCACAAACACAAAATGTACAAATATCAAGAGTAAGTGCTCGACGAATAACTAAACGAATTTTTTCTTCATTCAACGAACTAATTTCTGATCCATCGAAAAAATAACCACCAGATACAAATGCTGTTAAACCATCAACCTAAATTATAAACAAAAAAAAAAAATTATCAAAAAAAAAAAAGAAAGAACGAAAACTTCAATAACTGTTTCTTTCAAATCTTGTGGCCAGTTCGTCATAGGAGGTATAGCATGTGTTGTTGGTCCACATATACGTATTATGCATACTTTTGCTAATCCTCGTCGTTGAAGTAATGCATTGATAAAATGTGTCGTTCCTATCATAATAGCAGCTACTTCAATATCATTAATAACTTGATGTAATGCATGAAGCATGCCCGAAAAAATGTCCGAACTTGTTACCGTTTTCGCTGTAGCCACCACTTTCGGTGCTATTTTATGTTTTTTTTAAATAAATTATCAACTAATAATTACAAAATTTAAAGACTTACATTGATTGGATTCAATTTGTAGTAAGACTGCATCTATATAAAATTTACAATAAAGACATCTACACATCAATAAACGACACTCACCTGTATTTGTACCACCAACGTCAACACCAATGACATACATTGTAATACTTTTCACTTTCTTTCTTTATATTCACACTTAAATATGCAATGGTTTGCGCATCTATTTCATAACATATGCAAACACGCACATTTTCTTTTTCAACCAAAAGAAAAATAAATCGTTTGAAAAAAAAAAGGATGACTCAGACACTCATATCTACTATCTAAAGAAAAAAAGAAATAGGACAAAAGAGACAAGATTCACTTATTATTTGTCATATTCAAACAATTTATTTATACTTCTACATTATAGATTAATATAAAGAAAGCTTATACATAGTGTACCATTCATGAATCGTATTATTATTAAAATAAATCTGTACTCTATCAATTCAATGATATAAAATATGAAAAAATTTGATAGACAAATATGAACATGCTGTTATTGTGATTATTTTTTTTATGATTAATCATCCGTAACAAATTATATGATAGCATGAAAAAAAAAATTCAACATTTACTCACTATTTATGAATAATAATTAAATTGAATAATCAAAGAATTCTATTTGTTTGATAATTGATCTTACAGTATGTATTTTCATATTAGACTAAATAAAGTTCTCATTATTACAAGTACTGTGTGAATAAAATTTTCTATTGTCCAGATGCAAGTCTATATATATATATAACTTATCTTGACTTTATCAATAACATTGGGACGACAAATCGCTAATCAATCATTATTCTGTACATCGAATTTTTTTTTTCTTTAGCTCTTAATAAGACAAAAGAAAAGTACAAAGTACCTCTATCTTATACATCGAATAGAGTACATCTATAAGATTATTACAATGATAATTGACATGCACCAATCTATATTACTACTATGGTTTATAGTGCTAATCATTGATAGATCTAGTAGATCATTATGTATGACATTACCTAAATTTACTGAATTATATGTTGTTCCATTTCCAACATTACTCGGTGACGATAGTGATGGTTCATTCACACGTCCATATTCATCCCTGCAGCAAGCTCTTGATCATATCGAACATAATTATTACCGTAGTATTAATTTACCTCGACAAACAACTATATATTTATATCCAACTTATCATTTCGTAAACATTCTTCATTTAAATAGAGCTCATAGTCGCATACGACTAACAACAATGAATGAAGATGTTATTGATTTTTATGAAGAATTTATTCTACATGAACATAAATATCGACGATTATCCAGGGCAAGTATTAGTGGTGGAATGCCAATAACTGATTGGATTGCAGTTGATAATAATGTCTATAAAGCTAGTGTACCATCGACAATATTTGTCAATCAATTATTCGTTGACAATCAACGTATTGTTCGTGCACGTATACCAATGAATCAATCAGATTATCTTCAATATGATGCACCATTACAAGATCCAAATCAAGCACGTTATGGTTTTCAATATGTTCAAGGACAATTTGATTCTATTCCATTAGATGATGCTATGGTAGTCATATATCATAGTTGGACTACATCTCATCATTATATCGATCGACTTATTACGTCAAATAGAACTATTTTATTTACGAATCCATCTGATCGTCCAATTGGAACATTTAATATACAAGGAAAACGACGATTTCATATTGAAAATATTTGTCAAGCACTTGTTTCAAACTCATTTTGTTTTGTCAATATAACAAAAACTGTCTATCTTATGACAGATGGTACTTATGATCCAACCAAAGTACAAATTATTACATCAGTAAATGAATTTGTTGTATTACTTGCCAGTACTGATGTAACTAATCCAATTAGTAATATAATTATTGATAATGTTGCAATACAACATAGTGCATGGAATATTGATCGTACACAACAAGCAGATTCACAAGCAGCTGCATTTCTTAATTCTGCTCCACTCTATATTGCTAATGCAACATCAATCATTATTTCAAATATTGAAATTAGTCATACGGGTTCATATGGTATATGGATTAAAGAAGGAACAACTAATATTAATATTTTCAATTCATTAATTACGGATACTGGTGCTGGTGGTATTCGTATTGGTCAAATGATATCACCTGTACCAACACCAACTACGTCTATTAAAATAATATCTAATGAAGTTAGTTATGGTGGTAATGTATTTCCAAGTGGTGTTGCAATTATTAGTCATCGTGCTAATAATGTTATTATTGCTGATAATAGTATTCATCATCATCGATATTCAGGTATATCTATTGGATGGGAATGGGGTTATGCTCAATCTTATACAAGTAATATTATAATACAAAATAATTATATTTATAATATTGGACAACATATTCTTTGTGATCAAGGTGGTATTTATACACTTGGTATTCAACCAGGAACAATTATTAGTGGTAATGTTATTAAGAATGTATTTAGTTATGCTATTTTTATGTGGGGTATTTATCTTGATGAAGGTACATCACAAGTTGTCGTTTCTAATAATATTGTATATAATACTGGTTGGGCTTCATTTTTTCAACATTATGGTGCTAATAATACTATTATTAATAATGTATTTGCACGTGCATCACTTAATCCACCATCACATCCTGATGATGATGATCCAGATGGTGATATTCATATATCACTTGCAGAAAATCATACATCATTAATATTTATACGTAATATTATCTATGATACATTTCAAGGAGCAAAACATTCGGTTTACATATCCAATCCTAACGTAATTGCATCATTTAATGATAATGTTTATTATAATCCATATGGTAGTTCATTACTATTTGGTCCACAACAAACATCATTTATTGAATGGCAAAAAACAGGACAAGATAATAATAGTATAATAGCAGATCCATTATTTATTGGAAATGTTAATCAATGTGATTTTTTTACTATTCGATCTGATAGTCCTGCAGCAAAACTTGGTTTTGCAAATATCACTAAACTTTCGAAATGGACATCCGGATGTGATACAAATGATAATAATCAATTTTATCATTGGTAATCGAAATGATTTACACTAAACTTTTTATCATGTATTTTCAATGGGTGTGGGTGATGGGTTCAACGACAGTGAGTTTATTCTTACTATTATATTCTTTTTTTTTTGTTAGCATCGATCTTACTCACTATGACCTAATTTAGATTCTTAATTTCTCATATTATTTGATAGATTGTATAGTTCATTTATTGATAAATAAAAATCATTGTTACATATAGAAAAATTTTTGTGTCAATACCACTACATAGAAGTACTTCATCAGTCAATACAATGAATAAATTTAAAATGTGGATCATTGAATAAATCATGTATTGCTTTGTTTTATCTACTACATAGTCTAATAATTCAATCGAAGTCAATCCTTCTTGTGAAGACTTCGATGTTTACATGCGAGTGCTTGCAATGATCAAACACATATTATAGTCTAACATATTTTTTCGAAAAAGTAAAACAATGATAATTGCATGTATGTAGTTGTCAAACATATACCTATGCGTATACTACTGGTTTGCATTTATGCACAATGCACATGTTGCTATTTTTAGATAACTTACAGATTTCTTCATGAAATACATTGACTGGAGAAATATCGTGCAAATTAATATAATTTGCTGGAAATATTCAATAATTATACGGGATTTTTTCTAAGTTTCGTGTTTGACTGGAAGTGACAAGACAAAAAAAGTAATTACATCATATGTTTTAGTTAGACAGAAATTTTTTCCGTCCTTTTATTGACCATATTCGTAATTCAAAGAAAAAAGAAAAGAAAAAAAAAATGATTGCCTTTACATTCTTTTTTTTCCATCATTTATGAGTAAAACGACTTTGTTTTTATGACGTCTTCATTATCATTGTCAACAACACCTTGTACTTCATGTGATTGTAAGAATGTGGGTATTTTAAAATGTGAAGGTTGTTCACAAATATTTTTTTGTTGAAAACATGTTATCGAACATCGAGATCTTCTTAATCAACAATTAGATGGAATTGTTCACGAACATGATACTCTACAACAAATAATTGTGGAACAGAAAAAACAAAGAAAATAATCATCATTATTTTCTCAAACAAATTAACAAATAGGAACAAGACTCAATAATAAAAATTCAACAAACAGCAAATGAAATACAGCAACAAATAGAAATATTAATCAGTTCAAAAAAAAAGGTAAATATAGTGGATTTAACAAGTTCGTTTTTTTCTTAAATATTAGTTTTTATTTTTAGAAATCATATCAAAAGAATTGCATGATCTCGCTGAACAATTAAGAAAAGCTCGAGTAGATGATGATTTTATTGAAACTGATCTTCGTACGTGGACGGACAAATTAGAAAAAAACTAAAACATGATATTAGTAATGTTTCATCTTCGATAACTATTAGTGAAGATCCAACAAACATACTTGTAACTAAAATATTTGTTTCTTCAACTGCGCCACAATATTTAGAAAAAAGATGAACGATTTGAAAAATCTATTGGTAATGTTTGCATTGCAGAGGATGGTCATTTAGCTTATCATATTGGACCACAGAGAGATCGTGCATTTGTTATTTCATCGGGCAAATATAAAATTCGATTTATAATGAATAAGAAAAATTCAAAATTTGTTATGTCGTTTAATGTCATCTCAAAATATACTTCCATACATAAAAATGAATTTGAACTAGGAAAATCAAGTTATGGTTGGTACAGTGATGGTGATACTTGTTGTGGTGGTGTTGATTTACTACCCAATAAAGACAAACGTGATATGCAAGGTGAAACAACATTTGAAATCGAATTGTTCCTCGACTGTGATAATCAAAAGATAAGTTATTTCAATGAACGAACGAAAAATAGACGAGAAATGAAAATTAATCTTACAAAGTGTCCACTTCCTTGGCAATTACTTTTTTATTTATATGATGTTGAAGATTCTGTTCGATTTTTATCTTCAAAACAATTACTTTGAATATCAATCATGAGATTAATATTTATTTTTAAAGAAATCTTAAGAACAAAAACACTATTCAGGAATACATTCTTATCTCATATCGTCAAAAACAAGCATAATTACATACAAATTTTAACTTAAGTAGTAAAAATAACTAATGCGAAGGAACTATCCGAACCCATTTTTTGCTATTTTGAATGATTCTACTGAATTTTCGATACAACTTGAAATATTTGCCGAAAAATCAAATAACGGAATTTGTACTTAAAATTTTATCTATAAATAAATTGAATGATATCCTGCAAAGTTTCATATTGAAATTTCGTTATTTGAAACTTCGGTAAATACTTCAAGCTGGATCGGTTATTCAATAGAATGGTCGTAACTCAGTTCCAAAGGTTCTCGGTCATGAATTCTTTTAGGGTTTTTCTACTCTTTGATTCATTCGAAGATATATATATTTTATCAGAAATTTGAAATATTTTTTATATGTTCATTAGATACGAGATATGCGCTAAAACATTAGCACGAGCTCATCAATTGCAGATTAAGATTTGCAATCAACAAATAAGGAAATACAGAAAATTCTTTCTTTCTTGCATGAATTCTTTTTTGATCCTGAGATTTTAGAGATTTCCATAGTTTTCTACAACTTCAAATAAGTAGCAGAAAATGACATACATATGTTTATTATCAACAAGATAAAAAATATCTATTATTGATAATAGTATCGTTAATGCAACAGTCTAATATAAAAGTGAAACACGATTTGAAACGATACAAATGAGACTTCATTTGGACAAGAACTGTCTTGCGATATGCTACATTCAGATCATCACATCTGTTTGATAGTTTTGTCATTTATTAAAAATGTGGTCTATCTATTTAAAAGAAAAATTCTTATATTTAGAAGCTTCTATCAAAAATCATTCGTATATTGAATCAATTTTTAGATAAATTCACAATACGTGATGTCGTTGAGCAGCGGCATAAGTCACCACTGAAGGCAGAGGAGAGTATAAAAAAAACGGATTTCTGGTTGTTTACTATGTTTTCTTTTGCGTAGACAATACAGTTCAGGAACCCATGTAAAAAATTTGAATTGAGAATCAGATTAAAAATCGATTATAATGGCACCTGATTTTGATCAGATTTTTCACCTTGAAATGACAAATTTTATTTCATTTTGACTTTTTTTTTGTCTATTTTAATCGATTACCTACAACGACAATAATAATAGCTTTCAAAAAAAAAACAAAATAAAATAAAATTCGTTATTTCAAGGCGAAAAATCAGATTATAATAGTGCCATTATAATAGATTTTTAACCTGATTCTTAATCCAAATTTTTTACATAAGATGAGCACAAAAGGGATACACAGTTGTACCGAGGTAATCCAGATTGAAAGACCCATGTACATTTTTTTCAGCACTATAATCTTCTTTTGCTCATTGTGTTTAAAAAAAAACACTTTTGACCTAGAAACATCTGAAAATATGAAGAAAAAAAATTGTTGTTTTTACCTTCCTTCATTTTGAGGAAAAAAAACAGTCATCATATGGAGTCAAAAAAATTTCTAGGTATGTCTAACGCCGAAGGCGTTTACATCAGCGACTATTGATTGAAATCATAGTTTATAGAACGCGATATTAATAGAAACTCCCTAGAAATAGGTTTTAAGCTTTCAAAATATGCTTAAGCTTATGCAATTGACACCATTTATGCAAGCGAAATTGCTTTGTCGGCAGGTCTAAATCCTATTTCAGTGTTGTTGCGTTCCAAAATCTAAATGGTCGTTGAATGAAACCGTTGATAATTGTTTAAAAGTTTTTGCAGCCGAAGACGGCCGCACTCGTGATCATTAAAAAAATCAAAGTCTTTAGACGTGAAAAGTATCATAAAAAATGTTTAAATGATATATCAAACTCCTTAGATTAGTTGTGATTGTAAAGTTCTTACATTTTTGCGAAGCGAAAAATTTTTTCTTCAGTTTATATCTTGTTCAATAAAGACTTATTTAATTCAGCACTTTTAGCCAAAGAGTTAGTAAACTTCTACTTTATGTCTGTTTTCGCCCTTTTTAGTAGTGAAAATAACCAAAACTTTCAAGTATTCGGAGAGGGGGGGGAGGGGGGGCGTTCTCATAGAGAATTTCAAAAGCAGGGGAGGCGTAACGCCCCACGCGCCTTCTCCCTCTATTTACGCATCTGTCGTTGACATTTGAACAATAGTAAATTTAATTTTTATTGAGTACTTAACTGTCTTCTAGTCAATGAATATCATTCATTGGCGACTCAGCTATGGAATATTAGATTCTGTTATCTAAAAGAACGGAGACTTTTTTTTTGCGAAAAAAAAACAGCGAATTTATGAATTGTTTGTGATCATCTGGTTGTCATTCAATCTTTCTATTCCCTTCATTAGATTTGAGCTGTTATCTTTTGAACTAGTACAAAGATTGAAAAAATAGAAATATTAATTCAATCGAACTTCTCAAATATTCAATTTAGTTTTAATCATGAGGTCTCGAAAATTTTTTTTTTTTCATTTGTTAATTCATTTTTATCAAAAAGCAATTTTTCCAGAATTTGAAGTAGAATGTTTAAATTCATAGTATTTTTCTGTAAAATTATTAAATACAGATAGCAGCATGTTACATCATATTATTGTTCATTCATATTGAAAAATATAACATCGCAATATTGACTAACTGATAAACAAATGATAAGATAATATTGTAGCCTAGCATAAACAGCGAGCGGACAAGAAGAAAGACAAAAGAAACGTTTTTTTGTTGATATAAAAAGATAACTTATTTCAATCTCCGAATTCGTTTATTTTCAGACAAATTTTTTACAAATATATCGATATTACATTTTTCCTATGTAACAACGATATTTGCTTCACTATAGTAGAATTGCATTCCATATCCGATGGGCAACATTTCACTAGTTCAAAACATCGAAGATAAAAAATCTGTAAGCACAATTAATGATGAACATAAACAAATTGTTACACTTATTTGGTTTGAACCAAGTATTAAATCAAGTCAAGATACTAAAAAAATAGAACAAACACTACGTCATATTAATGATTATGTTATTTTTTCTACTGGTCTTGAACAATGTATTACATCTATCGAATCAATGCATAAAGAAAAAATCTTTTTAATTACATTAGGATCAAAAACATTAGAAATTTTACCTAGAGTTTCTTCTCTTCGTCAAATTGATTCAATTTTCATCTTCAATATCGAAAAAGATCGCAATGAATATTTATTAAAAGAATATCCAAAAATTATTGGAATTTATATTAATCTTGATGATTTATGTAAATCAATAAAAGAACAAATTGATATTGTCAATAGACAAATATATTCGTTCTCCTTTTTTGATCAACATCAAAAATTAACTGAAGATTTATTAAAAGAGTCAGCAGAATTTCTTTGGTTTCAATTATTTAATTACATGCTTCCTACTCTTTCACGAGATCAACAAGCTAAACAACAAATGATTCAAATATGTAAAGATTATTATCATGGAAATACAAAAGAAATAGAATTAATTCATCAATTTGAGCAAAACTATCAATCAAAAGATGCACTTCTTTGGTATTCAAAACGAACATTTATTTATAAATTAATTAATAAAGCTTTAAGAACAAAACATATTGATTTATTATATAAACTTCGATTTTTTATTGGTGATTTATCGGAAAATCTTCAACGTGAACATGAGAAAATTTTATTATCAAACGAAAACATTTTAAATGTTTATCGAGGAGTTAAAATTCAGAAAGAAGAATTTAACAAACTAAAAGAAAATCAAGGAAAACTTATTTCAACAAATGGATATTTATCAACTAGTCGACTAAAATCATATGCATCAAATTTTGCTCAAAAACTAGTAAAAAGAACTGATCTTGTTTCTGTTCTTTTTCATATTCAATGTAATATTAAACATATTGATAAAAATATTACTTTTGCTGATATTGATCAATATAGTGATAATCCATATGAACAAGAAGTTTTATTTGACTTAAATGCTTGTTTTCAAATTGAGTCTATGCAAGAAAATGAATCCGTACATACAATAACAATGAATCTTTCAAATGAAGGTCAAAAAGTTACTAAAGATTATATTGAATTAATACAAAAACAAACAGAACAAATAAGTATTTCGATTGTTTTTGGAAGATTATTGTGTGATTTAGGTGAATATGATAAATCACAAAAATATTTTCAATATTTATTCAACAGTTCTCAAAATGAAGATCGCTCTTGGATTGAATTTAATATTGGTCGAGCTCTTTATTGTAAAGATGAGTGGAATGAAGCCCGAGAATACTATGATCGTGCATATGATCGAATGATAAAGAGTAAACCAGCACGAGTGAAAGATTCTGCTCGTGTTCTCAATAATATCGGTGTTATTCTTGATAATCAAGGAAAATACGATGAAGCTCTTGATTATTATCAACGAGCATTGAAAATTCGAGAGGAATTTTATCCATCGGATCACGTTGATATTGCTACAAGCTTCGAAAATATTGGCATTATTCTCTTTAAACAAAAAAAGTACGAGCAAGCTCTTGATTATCATAAACGAGCATTGGAAATTCAACAGAAACTTGATTCATCTGCTCATATCAACATTGCTACAAGTCTCAATTACATTGGTATCATTCTCCGTAATCAAAGGAAATATGATGAAGCTCTCGATTGTAATCAACAAGCGTTGAAAATTCAACAGATACTTTATCCATCTGGTCATATTAAAATGGCTTATAGCCTCAACAATATTGGTATTATTCTTTATGATCAAGAAAAATATGATGAATCTCTTGATTATTTTCAGCAAGCATTGAAAATTCGAGAGAAATTTTACCCATCTAGTCATGAAGCAATTGCTATAAACCTCAACAACATTGGTATGGTTCTCCGTCATCAAAGAAAATACGATGAAGCTCTAAATTATCACCAAAGAGCATTGAAAATTCTACAGAAATTGTATCCCAC